AAAAAAAAAAAAAAAAAAAGTTAGCTTCGAGCCAAGTGGATAGATTCCTTTTGTAAAAGTGCATTGCTTATTGTCTTACAAACTCATGTGGAAATTCTGTATTAAAAAACAATTACAAAAGTCATATATTCAAATAATACAGAAGTTTAAAAAAGTAGACAGCCCTCCCTATCAAAAAGTTCCTCATGGGTGGATTAAACCAACTACAAATTGAAAATATTTGAAAACATAGTAATTAACAACACAACAATAGAAAATAACACAAGTTTTACAATAATACAGTGTAACAACTCTTTACATAACATTGACATTGTATTGGATATTATAAGCAACCCAGAGATGATTTAGGTTATACGAGAGGATGTGGGATGATTGTGTGCAAATATGATGCCATTTTATGTAAGGGACTTGAACATCCACAGATTTTGGTATGGAAGGGTGGGTTGGGGGGGTCCTAGAACCAATCGCACACAGATGCTTAGGGTTGACAGTTCACTTATTCCTCAGAAGTATCCCTTGAGACCAAGAGTTTGCTTGCAGATATTTCTAGAATTTCTTTCATTTGCATATCAGACCACATCATGTATTTTTTTCCCAGCCCTAAGCAGAATATAACTTTTGTTGTGTCCTTGTTTTTTCTTAGAACATAAAACTCGTCCTCACTGAGCATGACTTTAAAGCTCTGCCTCATTGTTCTCCCTCTCAGGATCAGTGAAGAGGAAGACCTTCATTTGGGGACATCATTTTCTGCAGAAACCAACCGCAGGGATGAAGACGCAGACATGTAAGCATCCGTTGTTTGACTACGAGCAATTCGGACTGGGGTCCAGTCAGATAGAGTCCAAGATAGTTAGTCACAGATGACGTTTCTAGAATTTGTCGATTCTGGCTCCTCTCTCCCTTCCTCCCAGGCTAGAGAACTTTGAAAACCTCTTTTTTAATTTTTTTAATAGTTTATTTAGAAAATAAATTAGGGAGACAGAAGATTCACCTTCCCAAAGTAGGGAAGGGGGCCAAAGCTAGAAAACACGGCCTGGCCATAGCTCAGCGAACACATGACCAGACCATAACTTAGCAAGGGAATGGCCTGAAAACCTCTTAACAGTTCTTTAAAAGGATAGTTCTGCTGGGTGCAGTGGCTCACTCCTGTAATCCCAGCACTTTGGGAGGCAGAAGCGAGAGGATTGCCTGAGTCCAGGGGTTTAAGACCAACCTGGGCAACTTGACGAAACCTTATCTCTACAATAAATCAAAAAAATTAGCTGGGCATGGTGGTATGTGCCTGTAGTTCCAGCTACTTGGGAGGCTGAGACAGAAGGATCCCCTGAGCCCAGCAGGTTGAGGCTCTGGTTGCCATGAGCATGGTACTACACTCCAGCCTGGGCGATAGAGTGAGAAACCAACTCAAAAAATATATATAATAACAACAATAATAATTTGAAAATAAAAGGGTAGTTCTTGGAATTGTAGATTCTGTAACTTAGTAATATTTCTCCAAAACATTGCAGAGTTACATATGGACTTGCCCATTTTTTGTGTGTGTTGCCAACAAGGCTGTTAAACAAACAACAGTCATCTTTCTGTCTTCAAAGAACCTTATATTTCATAACCCCGGAAGATCAGTAAGACATAATCTTATAGGTTGGTACTTTAAGTTTAAGACGTCTAACTTGATGGAAAAAAACCTCAAGTAATTTTTTATTTTTCTCATTTTTCCATGGACCATCACCAGTCTGTGGGTCTGTGTTGGGACTTCTAATTTAGAAGACACCTGTTGGCCGGGCACAGTGACTCATGCCTGTAATCCCAGCACTTTGGGAGGCCGAGGTGGGAGCATTGTTCAATCCAGGAGTTCAAGATCAGCCTGGACACCATAGTGAGACCTTGCTTCGCAAAAAAATCAAAAATTAATTGGGTATGGTGGCCCACGCCTGTAGTGGCAGCTACTTGGGAGGCTTAGGCAGGATTATCTGAGCCCAGGAGCCAGGAGGTCAAGGCTGCAGTGAGTCATGATCATGCCACTACACTCCAGCCTGGGAGACAGTGAGACCCCCAACTAAACAAAACAAAACAAAACAAAGACACCTGTAATGCATTTCCTACCCCTTCTTGAGACCTGTGAATTTCTCATTTCAGGATGAAGTACATTGAGACAGAGCTAAAGAAGAGGAAAGGGATTATAGAGCATGAGGAACAGAAAGTCAAGCCAAAGAATGCAGAGGACTGTCTTTATGAGCTTCCAGAGAACATCCGTGTTTCCTCAGCAAAGAAGACAGAGGAGATGCTTTCCAACCAGATGCTGAGCGGCATCCCTGAGGTGGACCTTGGCATTGAGTACGTGGCTGTCCCTCGGACGGGAGGAAGAACACTCTGCTTTCTGATTAAAAGTTATGGAAGCTGTTTCCTCCCTGTGTCCTTGGAAACCTACAAATAAGCCTAGACTCTCAAAGACAGGTTGTTGCCAGGAGCCTCTCTGAAGGCCTGGTCAGAGTAGATGAAGAGACTTCAGGGCCCTGACTGCTGAAAGCAAAAGTATTTCATTAGCCTTTGCTCCCAGCTGTTGAGCTGTTCTAACCAGGCCCTTTATTCTGTTTTCTTCTAGCAGGAGCCATGTTGAAGGCTCAACCATTCCCTCCCCCCAGGATTCTTTCATTTTGCCTATGTCTGCTTTCGAGGTTTTTTTTTTGTTTATTTTTTTGAGTTGGAGTCTCGCTCTGTCATCCAGACTGGAGTGCAGCGGCTGTTCCCGGCCACCACAGCCTTGACCTGCTGGGCTCCAGCGATCCTTCCACCTCAGCCTTCCAAGTAACTGGAACTACAGGCGTGCGCTACCACACCTGGCTCATTTTGATTTATTGTAGAGATGAGGTCTCGCCAAGTTGCCCAAACGGGTCTCGAACCCGCGGGCTCAGGCATTCCACTCACCTCAGACTCCCAAAGGTATGGGATTACAGGCTGAGCCACCGAGCCCGGCTAGGATGTCTGCTTTGAAAAGGGATTGTCATAGAAGAAGTACAGTGGTTAGAGCCATCTTTAGGTATAAAAGAAAGTCGGGAGACATCTGGGAGCTCACCCCTTCTCTGGTCTCATTAGCTCTGAGCCTCAAGCAGTTCACTTGACCTCTTTAAGGAGGCTTGGTGGACTGTAGAGAGCTGTACCCAGGATGGATGGCTTCCTCGTGCAGTGCTGGGCTGCTAGCCTCACCTCTTGATTCCATCTGAGTACCAAAAGTGCTATGATCTAACGTGTGGTGTGGCTTCTTACTCCCCACAGTGCTAAAATAAAAAATATCATCTCCACGGAGGATGCCAAGGCCCGTCTGCTGGCAGAGCAGCAGAACAAGAAGAAAGACAGCGAGACCTCCTTTGTGCCTACCAACATGGCTGTGAATTACGTGCAACACAACCGATGTAAGCACCTCAGTGAAAGCAGCCCTCCCCCGTCCCCATTTGGGTTGGAATGGGGATGGGGAATCCCGCATTCTGTCTGACATGTTCGTGGTCTGTATTCGCCAGTTTATCATGAGGAGCTCAACGCCCCCATACGGAGAAACAAAGAGGAGCCCAAGGCCCGACCCCTGAGAGTAGGCGACACAGAGAAACCAGAGCCTGAGCGTGAGTACAGCAGAGGCCGCAGGGCTGCCCGGAGTGGCCAGTACTCTGGAGGAATGCAGGGGAGGGCCAGGCAGGGATGGAGCTTGGGCTTTGGGGCCAGGACGTTTGGGTTCCGGTCCTTGCCTTCTCCTTTCCGAGCCTTGGTTTCTTCATCTATAAAATGGGATTAGTGCCTGGGCTCGTGGCTCACCCCTGTAATCCTAGTACTTTGGGAGGCCAAGGCAGGAGGACAGCTAGAGCCCACGGGTTCGAGACCAGCCTGGGCAACTTGGCAAGACCTCGTCTCTATAATAAATCAGAAAATAAGCCGGGCGTGGTAGCGCACGCCTGTAGTTCCAGCTACTTGGAAGGCTGAGGCGGAAGGATCACCTGAGCCCAGCAGGTCGAGGTTACAGTGGCTGTGAACGTGTTACTGAACTCCAGCCTGGGCGACAGAGTAAGACCCTGTCTCAAAAGATAAATAAATAAATAAAATTGGAACAGTAATGGAACCTGCATCTTGGGGTTGGAATTTAAAATTATGCACACGTAGCAGTATTCACTGAGCCCCTACTATGTTCTTAGGTACCACGCTGGGTCCTAGGGTTCCTGGAGGGAGTGAGACAGGCATGGTCCTTGCCTGGGTGGAGGGAAGTCTGGTGGGGGCTCCACCTTGGCCCACAGCCTTTCTTGTCTTTTCCTCCTCAGGGTCCCCTCCTAACCGCAAGCGTCCTGCCAACGAGAAGGCCACCGATGATTATCACTACGAGAAGTTCAAGAAGATGAACAGGCGCTACTGAGCCACGCAGCATGGGATGTAAGTAGCCCTCCTCCCCCTCCCTCGTGTGGAAACGGCCAGACAGGAGCCTGCTCAGTCACCAGCAGACACTTCCAGCACATACTCTGTTAGTCCTGCCACCGCCTGCTGGGCTTCTCAAGCATGGACTTGGCAACCTTTGAAACAAAACAATGCAGAGTTTTCCTGTCTGTGGGCAAACTCCATTCTTGTGCACATTATTAAATCTTGTTTGTAGATATGTTGACTTTCTCTTAATATTCGTTCTGGGTCGAAACAGCTGTGTGTTTCTCTTGGGAGAATACCCTGCAGAATTCAGCCTGAGTAACTTGACAAGACTTTGTCTCTATAATGAATCAAAAAATTAGCCGGGTATGGTGGCACGTGCCTGTAGTTCCAGCTACTTGGAAGACTGAGGCAGAAGGATCACCTGAGCCCAGTAGGTTGAAGCTGCGGTGGCCGTGAGCGTGCCTCTGCACTCCAGCCTGGGTGACAGAATGAGACTCCAACTCAAAAAAAAAAAAATACCCTGCAGACTCTGCTTTTATTGTTATAAATGCAATCATGTCTACTTTCTCGAATTTGTAATGTGGCCAGAAATGCTTTTTCGTTGTTTCTGATGGATCCAGCTGACAGCAGAAGATTTCAGGATGGGATCAAAGGGATACTGGTATTTTCTGACTTTTACAAAGTTACCTGTTTCTTTTCATAAAAAAAAGAAAAAGTAAAAACTGCATTTCTTTTCACTTTTAGGATTGAATTATTAAATACGAAATGAATCCAAGCTTAGTGTCTGTATTGTGTTTCCTGATACCAATATCAGGGAATGTTTTCAAAGACCAGGGTTTCAGTAGCTCCAATGTAACACTGGATTGCTGAGCTAGATTTTCCCATTTATCTCAAAAGACAAATCTGCTCTAACCCGTAAGCCATCGTCAGATGCCTCCTTGCTTACGAGGCATTTACGTGGGTCAGAATGAGGAGTTCAGTTGACTTCTGGGCTGACTGAGAGGCTTGTCTCAAGTCTGAGCTTGCTCACAGCTCACTACCAATTGTGACCTTGGACAAAACCCTTTTCCTCTTAGCCTCATATTTCTCATCTGTGCAGTGAAGCATTTCTTTTTTTTTCCCCTTCCACCCAAATGTCATGTCAGTGAAGGCAGGGACCCTTTGAACCTCAAATTTTTTTTTCTCCAAGTCCCCACATAGCCCATAATCTGACACATAGGCAGTCCTCAAAACTATGAATTAAATGAACGATGCCTATATGTAGTGTTTGGCTTATATAGGTGGGCAAAACGGCATGCCATCTTTAATACAAATGAAAACCTTAGACATGTTTTCAGAATATTTCAACAAACATTCACCAGGTCCCAAGGGGTAACCAAGATGAATACTGAGAGCCTGACACGTCTGGTATGCAGGCACACAACAAATACGGGATGAACAGGTGCATAAGTGGCTGATGAATGGTTCTTGCTTGCCGTAGGCCCTCCTCTGGAGAAAAGGTAACTTTCTGTTCAGCGTAAAAGTGACTGCCAGAAAATTAGCCGGGCGTGGTGGCGTGCTTATGTAGTTCCAGCTACTTGGAAGGCTGAGACAGAAGGATCGCTGGAGCCCAGCAGGTCGTGGTTGGGGTGGCTGTGAGCATGCCACTGCACTCCAGCCTGGGCTGCAGGGTGAGACTCCAACACACACACACATACACACACACACACACACAGTGGCCACCAGGCTGGGCACGTGGCTCAGGCTGTAATCCCAGCACTTTGGGAGGCCTAGGCGAGAGGACTGCTTTAGCCCAGGTGACTCGAGACCAGCCTGGGCAACTTGGCGAGATCTCATCTCTACAATAAATCACAAAAACTAGCCAGATATGGTGGCGTGTGTCTGTAGTTCCAGCTACTTGGAAAGCTGAGGCAGAGGGATCGCCTGAGCCCATCAGGTCAAGGCTGCGGTGGCTGTGAGCAGCCCAGGCAACAGAGTGAGACTCTGACTCCAAAAAAAAAAAAAAAGTGGCCGCCAGGTAGAACCAGGTTTCTCACTGTTGGAATAGGAATTTACTGTTAAGTGGGGAGGAGCTTTCATGATCCATGCAAGGGATGAGAATTAGAGATATCAGTATGAACTCATGTAGTTTAATATAGGTACATTGGTTACCTATAGAAGTAACTCAGGGCCGGGCTCGGTGGTTCAGCCTGTAATCCCGCGCCTTTGGGAGGCTGAGGTGAGTGGTTGCCTGAGCCCGCGGATTCGAGACCCGCCTGGGCAGTGAGTCCTCATCTCTACAATAAATTTAAAAAAATCAGCCTGGCGTGGTAGCTCATGCCTGTAATTCTGGCTACTTGGAAGGCTGAGGCGGAAGGATCGCCGTAGCCAGCAGGTTGAGGCTGCGGTGGCTGGGAGCAGCCACTGCACTCCAGTCTGGGCGACAGCGTGAGACTCCAACTCAAAAAAAAAAAAAAAAGAAGTAACTCAGAAGGATCACCTGAACCCTCAAGGCTGCGGTGGCCATGAGCGTGCCACTGCACTCCAGCCTGGGCAACAGAGTGAGACTCCAACTCAAAAAAAAGCCAGGCACAGTGGCTCAAGCCTGTAATCCCAGCACTTTGGAGTCTGAGGTGAAAGGATTGCCTGAGCTCAGAAGTTCGAGACCAGCCCGGGCAACTTGGTGAGACCTCATCTCTACAATAAATCGAAAAATAAGCTGGGCATGGTAGCACGTGCCTGTAGTTTCAGCTACTTGGAAGGCTGAGGCGGAAGGATCACCTGACCCCAGTAGGTAGAGTCTGCAGCAGCTATGAGTGTGCCACTGCACTCCAGCCTGGGCGACAGAGCAAGACCCCAACTCAAAAAAACAAAAATAGCTACGTATCCATGCACTGGTTTGTATACACGCACATTTCTTTTTCAGCTGAAAGAGCCTGAAAGAAAAGGCATCTCAGTAACAAGGGGCACACCTACCACCCAGATCAAGTGTCTAATACCATTCTCCAATAAAAGGAATCAGGGCCCTTTGTAGAAATACCTAATTCTAGGATGGGGGCAGGAAATACACAGGTAAGTCTGAAGCATCCTGCAATGCCAGAAAATAAGGAAGTGCTCAAAACAAAACAAACCCAAATAAATATCAGTACACATCTGGTCTGTGTCAATGAGGCACAAAGGAGCAAATGAGCTCCCAATGGCCAAAACCAAAACAAGGACAATTTTAGCCGGGCGTGGTGGTTCATGCCTGTAACCCCAGCACTTTGGGAGGCTGAGGCAGAAGGACTGTTTGAGCCCAGGAGTTCAAGACCAGCCTGGACAACATAGTGAGACCTTGTCTCTACAAAAAATCAAAAGAATAGCTGGGCATGATGGCATGTGCCTGTCGTCAGTCCCAGCTAGAGGACTGAGGATGAGGCAAAAGGATCACCTGAGCCTTCGTGCCACTGCACTCCAGCCTGGACAACAGAGTGAGACCCCAACTCAAAAAAAAAAAAAAAATGATTTGAGCAAAATAATAAAGCAATATTGTATTATAACCCAAAGTATAAAATAAATAACCAGGGGTCCATACCGATATAAATGATACATAAATGGAGTAGAAAAGACAAATCTGCCATGCAGAAGAAGTTCAAATAATTTCTTGGCTGGGCGCGGTGGCTCAAGCCTGTCATCCAAGCACTTTAGGAGGCCGAGACAAAAGGATTGCCTGAGTCCGGGGGTTCGAGACCAACCTGGACAACTTGGCAAGACCTCATCTCTACAGTAAATCAAAAATTAGCTGGGCGTGGGAGCATGGGCCTGTAGTTCCGACTACTTGGAAGGCTGAGGCGGAAGGATCGCTGGAGTCCAGCAAGTCGATGTTGGGGTGACTGTGAGCATGCCCCTGCACACCAGCCTGGACGACGGAGTGAGACTCCAACTCAAAAGCAAACAAAAAAAATTCTGTAGCTACTCTGCCCTCAAGCAAAACTCCCCACTCCCTAGGTATGGGCCATGCAGTGATCTTTCAGAGAGTGCTGAATGGAAAGGGAGGGCGGGGAAAAGAGTAACTTTATGATAATGGAGAAGCATGACAAACAACATCTCAGTCAAGTGATCAAGGTCAGCATTAACAGCCATAAGCCATGTTGATAGCATGTACCCCTGGTATATGATGTGATGACCTCAATAGCACTTTCTTCCTTCCAAAAACCCAGAACCCTAGTCTCAACCTCAGAAAAACGGCAGACCAGTTCCACAAGGGGACTGTCCTATAAAGGATTTGGCCAGTACTCCTCAAAACGATCAAGGTCATCCAAAGTGGGGAAGGTCTGAGAAACCGCCACGGTCAAGATGAGCCCAAGACAAGACAACTAAATGTAATGTGGTATCCTGGATGGAAACCTGGAGCAAAAAAGACATTAGAAGTAAGGAAATCAGGCCGGTGGGTCAGGTGTGTCATCCCAGCACTTTGGGAGGCTGAGGCGAGAGAATTGTCTGTGCTCAGGGGTTCGAGACCAGCCTGGGCAACTTGGCGAGACCTTGTCTCTACAATAACTCAAAAATTAGCCGGGCGTGGTGGCTCACACTTGGTTCCAGCTACTTGGAAGGCTGAGGCAGAAGGATCGCCCAAGCCCAGCAGGTTGAGGCTGCAGTGACCGTGAGCGTGCCACTGCACTCCAGCCTGGGCAACAGAGTGAGACTTTGACTCAAAAAAAAAAAGGCCGGGCTCAGTGGCTCAGCCTGTAATCCCAGCACTTTGGGAGGCCAAGGGAGTGGGTTGCCTGAGCCCAGGAGTTTGAGACCATCCCAGGCAACTTGGCAAGACCTCATCTCTAAGGTAAATAAATTTTAAAAAATTAGCTGGGCATGGTAGTGTACGCCTGTAATTCCAGCCACCTGAAAGGCTGAGGCAGAAAGATCACTGGAGTCTAACAAGTTGACGCTGCGGTGGCCGTGAGCATGACACCACACTCCCGCCTGGGTCA